GAAAGAATTGTGATTATAGTGTGTTGTAGTGTATGAAATAATGACTTATTTATAAGTAAATATTATATAGCATTTTTAAAAGTTTTTTAATAGCAACTGTAAAAAAAGGGTTAAAAAGACCTTCTCTTCCTTGTCACCGAGTAAAAGTGGACTTTTTCCACCACCTACTTATGAACCTTAAAGGTATTGTCTACGCGGAAGTTGGCTTTCATCTTACGGAAGCAAGTCAGAGACCATTTGGTGTAGCCTAAATTCCCTTATGCTAATAATTATAAAAAGCTTATTCTTTATATACCCCTAGTTGCCCGGTGTATCCCTGTGTAAGTGAGTGAATGTGCTTGTTTAACTTTTTTCGTAAAGTAAAGGGTAGGGGTGACAATTCTCGACCTAACCCGTAACCCGACACAAACCCGATACGAAAATAAACAAGTTTGGATTGAGATTTCTGACCTGCTAACCCGTCAACTAGTTTATATCATGGGTCGAGTTGGGTTATGTGTTTGGGTTTGTGGGTCAACACGCCAATATATATTATATATTTTTAAAATTAATATTTATTTAGGAATTATAACTTACGAATACGACATGCACTACTCAATCAAAAACCTAATCTCTGACTCCTTGTTACTCAAAAAGACCACAAACTACTCCTTGCCTTAACCTTACACCTCACCGCTGCTCACCCATTGATACCACCTCCTGTCGGCATCGCACACCACCAACCCACCAACACAAAGCCGCAAACCACCGGTACACATGCGCTCCATCGGCCCACCACCGCTCTTCGCTCTATCCCTAAACCACCAACGTCGGTGAAACCTACCCGTAAACCAGTGACGTGAACCTATATAATTAAACGAGTTATTGGGTTGATGTTTCTGACTCGTGAATCTACCAACCTAAATACAAATTCGAATTAGGTTGGTAGATATATTCTAACCCACAAACTCAAACTCGACCCGATTGCTAGAGGTACACTATAAAAAAAAGACTCTAGAGCGGGTTAGCGGCTCCTGGTCATGGGTATAAATAAACAGGTATCGCGTCGTACAAGACCACAAGTCATCCTTTTGCAAGCCCTAAAATTTCAATACCAACGCAGCGGTTCACAGATAACTGTAGGGACACAAGGAGATCTGAAAATCGGAGCATAATTCAGACCATGACGGATTACGAAGAAAGATACGAGGGTAACGGTGAAGATGTTGAAACCTTTGACGGCGGCTCCTCGCCTCAGGCTAGAGCTAACAGCCACGGCGGCGGCACCGATGATTTCAGTGATTCTAAGTCACAGGTGTTAAATCTTCTTTCGGTTTCTGTTATTTTTTTCAGATCGTTTTATAGGATTCCTGATTAACTCGATGAATAGAATTAAGAGCATTTTGCGTAATTTGGTTTGTGCTAGCCGGAAAGTTCAAATTAGGAGTATTTATTTCATGTTGAAGCAGTAAGCGTCGCGATTTGTGGCGAGTTTGTTTACTGCATTTATATCGAATTCGAATCTAGGTTTTTTAAAATTGACTATCGAAGGTGAAATATATATCCGAATTCGACTTTGCACGAAAAAGAACGGCTTGATTTTGAATGTGTGATAAGAATATGTTTTCTAGTGTATTCGAAGAATAATTCCTAAAAAGTTAGTCACTGATTCTTTGTTCTTGTTCCCTTTAATTAATCTAATTGAAACAGCTTCACTACTGATGATAACAACAGACTATCTAACTAGTTACTTAACTTTTCTAAGAGAATCTCTTCTTCAAATAGACAAAAATCACACTTCCCTGATTTCTACTCCCCTTTCTGGTTACTAAAGTGTTGGAGCCTTGCATGGAAGAGTTTCTACCTCAAATTTAATATCCCAATGCCAGTTGCTTAGCTTAGTACTCTTATAAAAGCTTTATCAATGCTTTTGATGAATGATATGGGACACATTATCTTCAGAAGTTGCTTCAAAGAATGTGGTTTCAAATTATGGTGTATATCTTTACATTTTTCATCATCTTAAGTGTGAATGTTTATATTTTCTATGCTGTTTGCAGCGTGGCTCTCGTGACTATGAAAGAGAGTCTTCAAAAAGCAGGTCAAAAGACAGGGAAAGAGGGCGTGAAAAGGACAGAGAAAGGGATAGAGACAGAGACAAAGATAGGGAAAAAAGCAAAGACAGGGACAGGGATAGGGAGAGAGACAAAGATCGTGATCGTGATCGACACAGGGATCGTTATAGAGAACGAAGTGAGAGAAGGGAAAGAGGAAGAGATAGAGATGATGATGATTATCACAGAAGTCGAGATTATGACAGGTACTAAAATGAATCTTTCTTTCATTTTTTTTCTTGAATCTATTGGCTTTAATTTGTTCTTGTTTTGTAATTTGATTGCAGAAGGAGAGATTATGATAGAGATAGAGAGGATAGACATAGTAGACGCAGGTCTCGTTCTCACTCAAGAGCCAAATCTGAACATAGATCAAGGTCCCGGTCTCGTTCACGATCCAAAAGGTAAGTCTTATTTACAATAAAAGTATAAAACCATTTCTTTTTTTGGCAATTTATCTGAAATCCTCTTTTTTTTGCATGAAAACCATTATCTTTTTAAAGAAATCCACTTACAGTATGCTATATAGCCTTATTACCCTGTCATCAGTCCTGATGTGGCATTTGTAAAACCCAACCTTCCTTGAAAACCCTTAGGTTTTGATCCTTTTTTCAAACACATCAGCATAGATGATGTTAAGGACATCAACATTAACAAGTAATAACTCCAAAACAATGACTTTTTTTTTTTTTTTTTTTTTTTTTTTTTTTCTTTCTAAATTGGTGTTAGAGACATCAATTTCGGTATATTTAACATCATAATGGAACTCAAGATTCTTTCTTTGTGAGAATGTACTATAGTTTCAAGTTTCAACTGCATGTTTCAAAAATCCTTCATCATAAAGATAGATTTTTTCATATAATTTCTAGTTATTTACATTGAATCATTGTTTTTTTAGCAGCAAAAGAGTTAGTGGATTTGACATGGCACCTCCAGCTTCTGCACTTTTGGCTGGTGCTGCAGCTGTTACTGCAGGTATATATCCCATGAATTACAACTCAGCTCATTATCTTGATAACTTTCATTTTTCTCTTTGATATAGTGTGGAAAGTTCGTACCAAAATGCATGGTGTTATTTTGGTAAGCAAATTTAGTTCTTTTCTAGAGTTGCAGTGTCATCAATTCATCCCCCTATAAACTGGATGTTTTTTTTTCTTCTTCTTCTATTCTTTTGGTGACATCATTACATAATTGTGAACTGAGAGAGCTTTTGGTTTTGTCTTGTGTTTGGTGTTTTTTGTTTTGTTGTATGTTTTGTTTTATGTCTAAGAAGGCAAAATCACTGTGCTGAGAATGGGTGTGAGCCGCTTTTTTGTACAAGGAAGAATCAGTGCAAAATGGTATGATGGGTTTTGTTCGTCTTCAACTGGGAATTGCTTGTTTTGGTAGTTTTTATAAAATTTCTCCATAAAAATCAAATCTTTTTCCATTTCTTGGTGAATGCAAGACTTAAAACTATCCGATTTTTTTTTAAAGCTAGTTGAGTGGTGAGTGTTGCTTATTATCTTTATGGTGGAGATTGAGAAGTTTTTAAAGTTGTCAACTTTTTCTAGAGCTTTGATTTTGTTGGATTTTACAGGTCAGATCCCTGGTGCCACCCCCACAATTCCTGGAATGTTCCAGAATATGTTCCCTTTGGCAGCTGGTCAGGTAATAAGTTTAAGATTGTAAGTTACTTTCTTCTTCTTATTATTATTATTATTTTTTACATTTTGTTTTGATACTCATTGCCATTTACAGTTTGGAGCTCTTCCTGTTATGCCAGTTCAAGCAATGACTCAGCAGGTAGGGAGGGACAGAATAGTAATTTGACATTTTATTTCTTTTTGTTTTGTTTTCTGGTTCTTTTGTTCTGAGTGTGAAATTCTTACAGGCTACTAGACATGCAAGGAGGGTTTATGTTGGTGGGCTTTCTCCAACTGCTAATGAACAGGTATATCTTAATCCTCTCTTCAATGAGTTTTGTCAGTTATTTTTAACTTATGGTAAAAAGAGCTCAATTTCTCACATTCATATTTACAGTTGTTGAAATTGTGAACTGATGTGGTTAAAGAACTATGAGGCTCTGCCTTTTTTTTCATATATTTTCTTAAACATCATTTATCAAGACAATAAATGCTTTTACATTCAACATGTGCCATTTTTTTTGATGAAATTACATGAGATTCCAATATTCATCCGATAAACATATGCAACATACATTTAAAAAAGTCTTGAAGTTTTAGTTTTCATATTTTAATAGCCTTAATGTCATTTTATTATGTTACATACTAATATACATAAGTTTTCACATTTTCATCGAGAAGTTATTTCTAATATATACGTAAATAAACATATTTTTTTCTTCAAGATCACATAAAACATTATTGTTTTTAACATCACTTGTAACAGGGAGGATAAAACAGTCATTTAGTCATATAAAGTAAAGACAGTTCATTAAGTTCAAGAAAGAAGCACCATTCATGTACACACTAACAGACATCATTATTCATTCAGCTACTTAATCCTTTAGTGAGGGGAAAAAAGAAATATGGCCTAAATCTAATTTCTTTTATAACTGTTTTATTGATTTATTGTCTTCTTTCCAGTCTGTGGCAACCTTTTTTAGCCATGTGATGTCAGCAATTGGTGGAAATACTGCTGGTCCAGGTTAGTAAATTTCATCATGTTTAAAAGATTGAAATCCTTAATAAGTTTTTTAATTTTATATTTTTTTTGTATTCTTAAAACTCCCATTATTGTTTTTCAGGTGATGCTGTTGTGAATGTGTACATTAATCATGAAAAGAAGTTTGCATTTGTGGAAATGAGATCTGTTGAGGAAGCCAGTAATGCAATGGCTTTAGATGGCATTATATTCGAGGCATTTCTTCTTCTTCCAACTTCTATATTCTATTCAAACACTTATTTTTAAATCCATTTAAAAATATTAAATACAAGAAAAACCAATCTATTTTCAGGGAGCACCAGTAAAGGTCAGAAGACCAAGTGACTACAACCCTTCACTAGCAGCAACCCTGGGTCCAAGTCAACCTAACCCCAACCTGAACCTGGGTGCGGTGGGTCTAACCCCCGGTTCAGCCGGTGGGCTGGAGGGTCCAGACCGCATATTTGTAGGAGGGCTGCCTTATTACTTCACAGAGGCACAAGTGAGGGAGTTGCTGGAGTCTTTTGGGGCTCTTAGAGGATTTGATCTTGTGAAAGATAGAGAAACTGGAAACTCAAAAGGATACGCGTTCTGTGTTTATCAGGACTTATCTGTTACAGACATTGCTTGTGCAGCTCTTAATGGGATTAAAATGGGTGATAAGACACTTACTGTTAGACGCGCTAACCAAGGTCAAACTCAACCTAAGCCTGAACAGGAGAGCGTGCTTTTACATGCACAACAACAAATTGCATTGCAGGTATTAAAAAATATTCCATTTTTTTTTATGGATGAATCAAAATCTCATTTATAAAATTATAATTAAGTAATATTTTTGTTTGCAGAGGATGATGTTGCAACCGCCTCCTGCCATTGGGACAACTGCCACCAAGGTTCTATGTTTAACACAAGTGGTGACTGAAGATGAACTTAAAGATGATGAAGATTATCAAGATATATTGGAAGACATGAAAATAGAATGTGGAAAATTCGGTAAATTAATCTTCTTTTAACTTTCGTCAATCTCACTTTATAATTCTAATCCCGTATTTAACTTCATACTTTGCCAAATCGTTTATATGTCAATCTATTAATTTTTATCGTTTTCATATCTTTCTGTTTTACAGCCTTTTGTAATCACACTCCTATAAAGCATCCAGACAGAAGCCCCTTCTTTTTACCACCTGTTTATATCCATATCCAATAATTACACCAAATAATTTTTTTAATCTCAATTTTTCTCACTAATTTTTCAGGTAGTCTAGTGAATGTTGTAATTCCACGCCCTAACCCTACTGGAGAACCAGCACCAGGTGTTGGCAAGGTTAGTTTAGTCTTTTCTCATCTCTTAAGTGCTGTTTCTTTTTCTTCATTACATTTTTTTCAACAAACTATTTGCACAATATTCATTAATTTAGACGAATGAAAGTATGTTGCTATTTTTTTGCACATTGTGTAGGTGTTTTTGGAGTATGCTGATGTGGAAAGTGCAGCGAAAGCAAGGGGAGGGTTGAATGGAAGGAAATTTGGAGGGAATCAAGTGGTGGCGATTTTTTATCCAGAGAATAAGTTCAACCAGGGAGACTATGAAGGATAATAATAATACTATTATTAATAATAAATAGTCTTGTTTGATTGTATTACTAGCTTTAAAATGTCCTGTTTTACATTTTGCTTTATTTAGAAACATATTAGATGTGTAATGTTTGTTTTTGACGTTTGGTAAGAGTTGTTATTACTCTCTTGACTTTCACCAAGAAACGAGTAATGTGAGTGAGATTAGTGGTTTTGGTTACTTGTATGTCTTGTTTGATCGAAGAATTTTGTTCAATTTACTCATTTAGTTTTGAAAAATCTAAAAAAGAACAAACAAAAAAAATCTCTTTGACTAACCTTAATGTTTTAAGGGCCAAGATCTTGATTTTGATCTTATGATTTTAAGATCTTCCATGTAAAAACCAAGAAACGATCTTGACCACATTAGTATCTTAAGATCCTCCAAGTAAAAACCAAAGAACGATCTTGACCATATTAGTATCTATCTAAAACGAAATCTATAATGAGATCTTAGTATCAAATGTTACATGATTTGATCTCACATCTGTACTTCTATTATATAATCAAGGGAAAATGACATAAAATAGCAACCTATATTCTGAAATTTACTTCTATTATATAATCAAGGGAAAATGACAAAATAGCAACCAATATTCTGAAATTTGTTTTTTAGGTTATTAAACTTTTAATTGTATCCAATAAGGAAACTAATTTTTATTTTAATTTTAAAATATTATCGATTAAGATTTTTATCAATTAAAATACCGTCATTTCCATTCCCACATCTAACTAATAGCATATTATATTCATTCTTCTCACAACACAACTTAAACTACATAGATTTTTACTAATTAAAACGACAATGTCACAAAACAACATGACATTGCTAATGATTATCGATTGTGGTTTGAGAAAAATAATTAAAAGATGCTTTTAGTTAAATGTGACAAGGACAATAACGCTGTTATCATTTTAATCGATAAAAATCGTAATAACTGGTATTTTAAAACGAAAATAAAAAGCCAGATTCCTTATTGGATACAATTAAAAGTTTAGAGACCTAAAAGACAAGCTTTATGTGATTGGTTGCCATTTTAAGTTATTTTCTCTATAATCAAGAGTCAAAAATTCGTCTATTTAACTTTAAATCGAGCATTATATATTCAAGCAGTCTCATAGATCATCACCACATTATCAATTCTTATATCTTTAGTTATACATGATTATAATGATTTTGTTTCTTTTTCTAAGTTAAAATGTTGTTTGCAACAACAAAAATTATGGTTCATTCTTAAGAAGTTAAAGATGATTTACTATCGACGTCTCAATCAACATCAAGTAATTATATATACTGAACACCTAAGAATTTGAGAACAAATTTAAATTTGAGTTCATTTCGGTATTGATCTTTCAATCCAATCTAATCTTATGATTATGATCTTGCAAAATGTAAAACGATCTTAGATAAGATCTCAATGTTGACAAACTTGTTTTGTTGTAAGTGGTGGTAACAAAAACCAATAAAATAAAATAAAAATAAAAATAAAAATTAAATAAAATAAAAATTAAAAAAAAATCTAAATAGAAACACTTAATTATGTTTAAGCTAAAATAAATTATTAATTTTCGTACCTTGACCATATTTGAGAAATATGACGAGTATCGGGATCAAGATGGAATTACCCTTTTTTAAGTGACTTAAGCGTCAATTATGAAAGAGATAAGTCTGTTTAGTTTTGAATTAACACATAGATAGATATTGAGGGATGGTTATAGTTATACTTAATTACTTATACATACCCATGAGATGTCCATTTGTAACATCCATAAAAATTCACAAAAATTTAAAACTTTTTAAGATATTCAAAAACCATTATTTATTACAAATGTTTCCAAAATAGTTCGTAACAGAGTATCCCAGAAAACAAAATCATAACATGTGAGGAAGTCTACGGTCACGCCTTCGCTTTCCCGCGGTCATCCGAAGTACCTGAAACAATAATCCATAAATGTAAGCTCGAAGGCTTAGTGAGTTACCCACAATATACCGATACATAACACATAGCTCCATATAATAGCAATCACAACAGTAACATCATGCAATGGGTCCACAACTATACAAAATGGTTTACCCCTGAGCCCACAATATGAGTCTAGTATGCCTTCCCTGGCCCTCAGCACATATCTGGATTGCTCTCGAGCCCACAACATATGTCTGGATTGCCCTCGGCCCACAACTTATGTCTGGCTTGCTCCTTCAGTCCTCGGACTGGAATATAATGATTAGCCCTCAGTACGAGTCTGACATGCTCTACCCGACCCTCAACTCATATCTGGAATGCATATGAGTCCTTAGTATGAGTTTGGCATGCCCTCCCTGGCCCTCAACTCATATCTGGCATACTCCAGGGTTTGTTGGCCACCGCACTGAGCAGTGCAACCTCAACCCAACCACACCACATAACATAACATGTCGACATGTAACAAATAAGTGCACATACATATAATCAAACAGGATCACAGGTAGTCCTACAGACCTACCAAACTAGCATATTAAACTAGTATGCATAGCTAACTCATACTCCACATATCAATAACTACTAGGATATCAAATCCAATGGGCCGACCTTGGTGCCTTATACCCCTTAGTATAGTGATGACAACTCACTTCGCAATGTCGATCTGAGCTGAAGAATCAAACTCCCCAATCACGACCCAAAACTCAAACACCTACAACCATCACCAAACCAATTCCATCAAGAACCAAATTACCAAAATGCCCTTAGAAGTCAACTTGTTTAACCCTTGGTCAAAGTCAAAGTCAACAGTCCATGTTGACCCAACTTGTTCTACTGCTCCTTTTGACATTATTCATTTTGATGTGTGGAGTCCTGCACCAGTATCCACAAAGGGTGGGTCAACCTATTATGTATCTTTTATAGATGATTATACTTGATACACATGAGTTTATCTTATGAAACGCAAATCTGATTTCTTTGATATTTACAACAATTTTAGAGCTCCTGTTAAAACTCAACATTCAGTTGTGATTAAGTGCTTCAGGTGTGACTTAGGGGGTGAATATACCTCTAATGATTTCACTAAGTTACTTGCTTCTGATGGTACCATACACCAGTCTTCGTGTACCGACACACCTCAACAAAACGGTGTGGCAGAACGAAAACACCGTCATATTGTTGAGACTGCCCGCTCATTGCTCCTGTCTGCGCAGGTCCCTAGTTCCTTTTGGGGAGAAGCATTCCTAACTGCTGTGTATGTGATTAATCATATCCCTACTTCATTGAATTCAGGAATGTCTCCTTTTGAGAAGTTATATGGTCATCTACCAGACTACTCTTCCTTACGAGTTTTTGGATGTACTTGTTTTGTTCTTCGTCCTCATGTTGAAAGGAACAAGCTGGGGGCCGAAATCTGCTATTTGTTTATTTTTGGGGTATGGTATTGGACAGAAAGGATACCGTTGCTATGATCCTGTGAGTCAGAAGTTATATGTTTCCCGGCACGTTACTTTTTTGGAACATATTCCTTTCTACTCGATTCCTGCTACAACCCACAATGTGACGAAGTCCGATCCCTCAGCTAGGGATGTCAAAAAGTCCCGTGGGACCCCGTTCCCGTGGGGGCCCCTGTCACACCCCCGAAACCAGACGGCGGAAACGTCCGTGGGCTTGCGTGACTTAAATTGAATATCATCACAATGAATATACATGAATCATAACATAAACATCACCATGCATCAATACATTACAACTGATATTGTTTACATCCAGTACATTGTTTTAAATATTACACATTCATAACACAAAATGTTTCAGAGTTTTCAAAACAAAACATCCTAACATACTTGGTATTACCCTTCCGCTTACCTGTTACCTGAGAATACAAGTTATTTTGGAAAACGTCAACATATGGAATGTTGGTGAGTTCATAAGCAAAGTTGTGATAAAAATGATTTGTATAGTTTGTAAAACCCAGAAAATCCGATATTTTCTGAAAAGACAATAGTTTATCAAAGTGTGAAGATCCATAAGTTGATGCATGAATGATTTCAAGGCATATATATATAAAAAGGGTGTTTTGTATTATAGTTATAGAGTTTACGAGCGAGTGGTGTTGATTTCCCCGGAAAACCCGATGTTTCCCGATGTCGAAAGATATACTTGATTACTAATTGTTATACCGTCACGTCGAATGAATATTGATTACTCTTCCTTGATTACTCGGGTGGTGTCGGATAGTATCATTACTAGTGAGTCGTTATAACGAGGTCCGGTAAAGGCTGGTTATAACTGTCAACTACGAACGACCCATAGAGGTACCGTCCGTGATTACTCATGTAATCCAAACCACCTTGATTACTGTTGAATAATGTCCTAAGTTCGTCTACTTTGATTACTCATAAGCCTTAGCAAACGAAGAGAAGAGGAGTACGAAGTCCTGCTACCATCGTAAGTACTTTTAGGCTGTCGAGGATGCGGAGGACACGTTGGCCCATCTCGCATTTGATTACTTTGACCTTACTAGCAATACTAATGGACCACTAGGGCCCAATAGCACATAAAATCTATTGAAAGTTCTTTTATATGGAATTGGGCCATAGGAGGCCCAATGACACATAAGCGTTATCCCCTATGGGCCCAAAGATCATGTAAATGGACTTGCAAGGTCCAACATGCATGATTTGAAACTTTCAAGCCCAAAGTTTGAATGTTTACTCGTCTTAGGTAACGCATCTCTAGTGGAGGGTTTGGTTGAACGTTCGTTGTTTTTGTATCGACTCGAGACCGAGCGATTCGTTTATAACGATATTTGGAGTTATACGTGTATTTGTCCTTCGATTTTTGTAAGCCGTATATTAGTATTTTTGACTCAATATTCTATAAATAAATAAAATAATTGGTTTAAAAACAGTAGTTTGACCTTTTCATCCCCTTTCTTTTTATAAAATAACAATTTTAGTCCTTTATATAAAAGAAAAGTCATTTTAGGCCCTTAAAACATTTTCTTGACACTTTTGCATCATAGATTTGTTGAAATGATATTTCTAACTCAAAACTTATTTTGTTGACAGTTTCAGCCCTTCCAGAATAGTATTTTCCGGTTAAAGCCCAACTTTTTGCAATTTTTACACTTTTAGCCCAAAAACCCAAAAACTTTACATTTTTGATCCTTTTTGGAAATGAAAAGCATTTTTAACCCTTGAAATAGTTTTATTACACTTTTTATCCCCTGTTTTGAAAAGTTTACCAATTCAGCCCCTTTAAATGCCATTTTTTCGCAATTTTGGGCTTGTTGGGCCGAAAAGCCCAAAATTAGCCCATTAAGCTAGAAATTCCATTTTAAGTCCTTTAAAAATCATAATATTCATAAAAACAATTATTGTAACTGTTTTGGCTCTTTTAACCCTTAAGAAACCGTGATTTGGCAACCTTTAACCCAATTTTTGTATATTTGACAATTTAAGCCCAAAAATGGATTTTTATGTTGGAATATGTTCATCACAATCTTATAAGCTATCATTCTTGACTTGTTTAGTGTAACATAACTTAGATCATGTTTGTTTTCTTTCTCATGTCATAGATCTCGAGATATCACTCCTTTTTGGCTACATGTTTATCACAAAAACACATAAAATCACACATACATGCATAAAATCACACATAACATACACATACACATAGATCCACACATTTTTCTTGTATTCTCCCCCATAAAACATATAAAAACCGAAAAGAGAGGGGTATGAAGCTCACCTTGAGTTGTGGGTTCGGTTTTTGAAGAGAGAAATGAAGAAGATTTGATCCTAGCAAGTCTTCTTGGAAGATTTTTGACTTAGATGTGTTCTAAGAGACAAGATCACGAATTTTGTATGAGATAAGGGAGATTGTTGATGAAATGAAGAAGATATGTTATGAATCAAAGCAATAACTTACCAAGGATGTGAACTACTTGATGAAAATCCTTAGATTTCTAGCCAAAGTTTCGAGATCTTCAAAGGAGAAGAGGATGATCTTGAGAGTGGTTTAGAGAGAATTTTTTGTGAGGTGTGTGTGTTTCTTTGTGGTTCTCGGCCGAGGGTAGAAAAGAGAGAGGGGAAGAGAGAGACTTGTGAGTTGACATGCATGAAAACATAGGAATTTGCATGGAGAACCAAGATGTAATAGGGAGGTGGCAATCCTAAAGTCAACTCTTCCTCTTTTGTGTTGTTGGGCCGAGAAGAGGAGAAGGAAAAAGAAGATTTGGGCCCTTTAATGCTTAAGCCCATATCATAATTCCATTAGGTGATTTTCGACCCAAAATAAATCAAGGAATGATTTTTATGATCTATTAGGGCTACATAAATTTGTTGTGGTCCAATAAGGCCCATTAAAGACAACCTAGTTCATTTTAGGCTTATAAGGCCCAAAATATTATGTTTCATGTATATGGGCCCAATTAGGGTCCATTTTAGGGTTCTATGTTCATGATAGTTAAATTGGAAGCTTATTGGTCCATTAGGCCAAATAAGGAAATCCTAGTCTAAAATGGACTTAAACCGGGATCTCTAGGGTTTCCAATTCTTGGTTAACTATTTGCAGTGCTTGAATACAGTGTTGGATTGAAGTTTTGTTGTTATTGAATAAGCATCATACATGTTTTCACATTGTTGGTTCATAATTGATATAATTGTTGTAGTTACAAGCATCAAAATTCCTAGTTGTGACAGCCCCGTCCTGTTTGGGGGAATTTTTTTTAAAAAATCGGGTGCGGGGACGGGGGCGGGGGCAATGTTAACCCCCGTTTTAATTTCGGGGGCGGGGGCGGGGGTAGGCAATCTTGTCCCGAAACCCCCATGGGGACCCCGTTAATAAATTACACATATATTTACATATATTAATTATATAAATATAATAAACAATAACATGATTTTGAGCTTCCAAAATTCATCAAAAAAACATGTTTTTAAGTTGTTAGTATAATGTTTTTAAGATGCCATAGTTTTTTTTGTTTTTAACATGTAAAATTTTTCTATAAATAATTATTTGTTACCTAAAAAATAGTTTCTTTAAGCCTAAATAACAACTTTTTTAGCCAAAAAAAGGCAGCCCAAAATCAATCGGGGGCGGGGGAACGGGGACGAGGGCGGGGGTAATAAAGGGGATTCGGGGGCGGGGACGGGGGTAGGAAGACTAAACATTTCGGGGGCGGGGGTGGGGACGGGGGAACGGGGAAATTTCGGGGGCGGGGGCGGGGGATGCACTCCCCGTCCCGTTTGCCCCCGTTGACATCCCTACCCTCAGCTCATAACACACCCACTTCTTCAGAGGGTGCCTCGACTCCACCTGTTCCTGAGCCTGATCCTACGGTATGAGAGTTTACATTTCTTCATCTACTCCCTTGCGGATATGGGAGTTTACATTTCTTCATCTACCCCCTTGCATTGTGATAACAAAAGTGCGATACAAATTGCGAAGAATTCTGTTTTTCATGAGCGGACGAAGCACATTGAGATTGATTGTCATTTTACCCGTCATCATCTGCAGCTCGGGACCATTTCGCTTCCATTTGTTTCATCAACCTTGCAGCTTGCGGATATTTTTACGAAGACTTTATCGGCTTCTCGGTTTCGGTTCTTATGTGACTAGGGGTGTAAGTGAGCCGAGCTACTCGGGATCGACTCGTTATAAGCTCGACTCGAGCTCGAATTAAACGAGCCCGAGCAGAGCTCGAGCCTAAATATGAGGCTCGTTTATTAAACGAGTTCGAGCCGAGCTTCAGTTAGTGGGCTCGCGAGCCTAAATGAGCCTAAACGAGCCTATAAATATATATATATATATATATATATATATATATATATATATATATATATATATATATATATATAGGCTCGTTTAAGCTCGTTTAGGCTCGCGAGCTCACTAAATTGTTCACGAGCCGATCTCGAGCTTCATTTTAAGGCTCGAATCGAGCTCGAGCTTGGTTAGGCTCGGGCTCGGCTCGGCTCGTTTGCACCCCTATATGTGACAAACTCTCAATGCTAATTGTTGCGGCATTGTGAGTTTGAGGGGGGATGTTAATCTATATATTATTAGCCCGCTTGTTTATGGGCCCTTTAGTTTTTAGCTCATTAGGGTTTCCGTCTAGCTAGTATTTATATCCATTTTATTCTTTGTAGTCTTTATGCTTTTCTTTTGAGAACCCTTGTAATTTCTCTTTATCATAATCAATGTTATCAATACTATAGGAGGAGCCCATGCATATACAAAGCCTAATACACGAAGCAGGTGAAATCCCTACTCCCCTGTTTGACACATACGACTCACAATCTGACCAATTCACTTCACCAATAGCGTGTCACGAAGCAGGTGAATCATCCAGACAAAGTACCCATACGTCGAACACAATAAATCCGGTGATAGAGGAATCCATTGACACCGATTCTTTGACATACGATTACATACCCGTTCAAGGTTTATGTACACTAGCTGACATCTACATGAAACAGAACCAATGGATACTGAGATAAAAGAATTAATGCTTGCCGGAGAAGAATACCATCAAACTATGAAGAAGCATCTAGTGACCATGTATGGCAATAAGCTATGAAGAAGGAGCTGGAGCTGGAGTCGATCAATAAAAATAACACCTGGAGACTAACCGATCTTCCAAAAGGTCAGAAACTGATTGGAGTGAAGTGGGTGTTCAAGCTAAAGAAAGATGCAGATGTGAACGTAACAAAGCACAAGGGTTGTTAAGGATACATACAAAAAAAGGTGTCGATTTTGAAGAAGCTTTCGCACTGATAGCCTGAATGGAAACCATGACTCTTATTAGCCCTAGCAGCGACCGAAGGTTGGAAGGTTCATCATCTGGATATGAAGTAAGCTTTCGCACTGATACGCGTTCTGTGTTTATCAGGACTTATCTGTTACCAGTAGCGGATCTAGCCCCTTTAAGTGGGGTGCATGGACCCCACTTGGAGGTGGGCCCCACAATTTTTACTACTAGTCTTCCAAAAATCCAAGTTTTACAAAAAAAACCCTCTTTGGCACCCACTTTTACATTAAATACCCTCATTGACATTTTTTTTTACTTCAAAAACCCAAAAATACATTACATTTTCAGAATTTTATAATTTTTTTGTATTTTTTGGACCCCGGTTAGATTTGGTTATGGATACGCCACTTTCTGTTAAAGACATTGCTTGTGCAGCTCTTAATGGGATTAAAATGGGTGGTAAGACACTTATTGTTAGACGCGCTAACCAAGGTCAAACTCAACCCAAGCCTGAACAGGAGAGTGTGCTTTTACATGCACAACAACAAATTGCATTGCAGGTATATGGATAACTGTTCTTTTTGCACTTTGAATATTTTGATTATTTATAATGTTTGTTAATGTTTAGTTGATACTTTTCTCGCTTTAAACACCTGTGTGTTGCTTTTTTTCTCTTTCATGAAAAACTTTTTTGGACGATGAAGTTTCAAGTAAACACTTTTTTTTTTTTTACTAAAACTATAAAAAAGATTACTATTTGAGATTTTTTTTAAGAGTTGTTTTAATATTATTGCGATCAATTTGGGAAAAAAGTTGTGATTTTTTGTATTATGGATATTTTAAAGATGAAAGTAAATTACATGGCTTAAAAGTTTGATGCAATTTATGATGTCAGTTTTTTAAATGTGACTGTTTTTATAGTATAATCAATATTTTAAAAAACTGGCAGTTACACACAATTTTTATTTTTAAAACAGGTGTGAAAAATATGGCCCTAGCTTTTTTCTTTTGTAAGTATGATTATGGTGTATAGTCATATATATTAGATGGGAGGTGATATTTGTACTTATGTTTTTGATTCTTCCACTTAAAAAAGTGATTTGACTTTTAAATCCCTCATTGTAATTGAAGAGAGAATCGGGTATAAAAGTAAAAAAACAGTTTTTTTTTTAAAAAGTGGATGAATCAAAATCTCATATAGATACAGACATAGAAAAAAATGACGCTGAAGGGGACATAGGTTAATGGGTCAAACTTTTATGAGTTGACTAGGGTCAATTTCTTTATAAATTTATAATTAAATAATCATTTTTGTTTGCAGAGGATGATGTTGCAACCTCCTCCTGCCATTGGGACAACTGCCACCAAGGTTCTATGTTTAACACAAGTGGCGACTGAAGATGAACTTAAAGATGATGAAGATTATCAAGATATATTGGAAGACATGAAAATAGAATGTGGAAAATTCGGTAAATTAATCTTCTTTTAACTTTCATCATCTCACTCTATAATTCTACTCCCATATTTACCTTCATACTTTGACAAATCGTTTATATATCAATCTATTAATTTTTATCGTTTTCATATCTTTCTGTTTTACAGCCTTTTGTAATCACACTCCTATAAAGCATCCAGACAGAAGCCCCTTCTTTTTACCACCTGTTTATATCCATATCTAATATTTTCACCAAATAAAAATTTTTAATCTCAAAATTTCACACTAATTTCGCAGGTAGCTTAGTCAACGTTGTAATTCCACGCCCTAACCCTACCGGAGAACCAGCACCAGGTGTTGGCAAGGTTAGTTTAGTCTTTTCTCATCTCTTAAGTGCTGTTTCTTTTTCTTCATTACATTTTTTTCAACAAACTATTTTCACAATATTCATTAATTTTAACGAATGAAAGTATGTTGCTATTTTTTTTGCACATTGTGTAGGTGTTTTTGGAGTATGCTGATGTGGAAAGTGCAGCGAAAGCAAGGGGAGGGTTGAATGGAAGGAAATTTGGAGGGAATCAAGTGGTGGCGATCTTTTAGCCAGAGAATAAGTTCAACCAGGGAGACTATGAAGGATGATAATTATGATAATAATAATCAATAGTCTTGTTTGCTTGTATTACTAGGTTAAAAATGTTATGTTTTTACATTTTTCTCTTATTAGAACATATTAGATGTGTAATGTTTGTTTTTGACGTTTGGTAAGAGTTGTTATTACTCTCAACTTTGACTAACAAACGAGTAATGTGAGTGAGATTGGTAGTTTTGGGTGCTTGTATGTCTTGTTTGATGGAAGAATTTTGTGCAATTTACTCATTTAGTTGTGAAAAGTCTAAAAAAGAACAACAAAAAAAATAGAACTCTTTGATTAACTGTAATGTTTTAATAAGATCTTGATTTTTATCTTATGATTTTAAGATTCTACAAACAAAAAACCAAAAACAATCTTGATAACATTAGTATTTATCTAAAACTAAATCTATAATGAGATCTTAGGATCCCGACTAGGATCAATTCTTACATGATCCGATCTCAAATGTGTAATTTTATTATATAATCAAGAGTCAAAAGTTTTTTCTATTGAAGTTAAAATTGAGCATCCATATTCAAGAAGTCTCATATATCATCACCACTTCATTAATTCTTATTGAATTAGGTAGAGCACACCCATCATATTTCCTATATGATCTTATATCTTTAGTTGTATGTGATTATAGTATTTTTTTCCAAGTTAAAATGTGGTTTGCAACAATAAAAATTATGGTTCATTCTTAAGAAGTTAAAGTTGATTTCACTGTCGATATCTCAATCAACATCAAGTTATAATGTATACTGGACACCTAAGAATTTGAGAACAAATTTAAATGAGTTCATTTTGGTATTGATCTTTCGATTAGATTCACTCTTACGATCACAATCTTGCAAAACATGAAACGATTGTAAGATATTAATCTTGACAAACAAACTTGTATCATTGTAAGTGGTGGTAACAAAAACCATAAATAAATAAATAAATAAATCTAAACAGAAACACCAAAGTATGTTAAAGCTAAAATACATTATTAATTTTGGTACCTTGACCACATTTGAGAAAGATGATGAGTATCGGGATCAAGATGGAATTACCACCATTTCTCAAGGAACTTAAGTGTCAATTATGAAAAAGATAATTTTGTTTAGTTTTGAATTAACACAGATAGATATTGAGGGATGGTTATAGTTATACTTATACATACCCATGAGCAGGGGAGTAGGCTTATAGGAGTGGGGGCATGTTAGGATTAAGATTTCGTTTAAAGAAATTTGGACTAAACTTAAAAGTAGTAATGCATGCCTCCAACGGTTTCTTTGGTTGGCCGATGTACCGAAGAGCAAACGCAGTAATCGGAGACGGGAGTCTTGGAGTGTCAAGAACCGCATGCAATTTGGAATCTAGGTTTGTTTTTTCTTCCCCTGATGTTAATTCAGAAGCACTGCATATATGAAAAGATTAAAAAGAAACACATATCCAATTTATAATTTACCCCTTCAAATCATCTACTTATTACATAGAGGCCCACATGATTTACTAAAATGATAAAAAAATAGAAGTATATAATAAATTGTATTTTTTTTTGTTTTTGTTTCACAAAAAAAAAAAAAAAAAAGAATTTCACAAATCTAGTTACTTATGCATTGTTTTGTTGTATTTTCGTATTTAGTTCAAGCACATAGTAAGTAAAAGAAGGGATCCAAAGATAGAGATTTAGTTCATGGCTGATACTTATGTCTTGTTCTAGAGATAAGAAAGAGAAACAGAAAGGAGGTGTGAGTGGTAGTTGGTGGCGTTGATAAAAAGAGCAATCGTCGGACGAAACGCCTTTGGAGGAATCGGAAAAGAACATAGTCGTGATAGGTATTAGGGGTGACAAGTTAATGAATTTGGAAGGAATTTCTCGTGATTAATTTTTTGGGGTATTAGCAACAACAACCATTGCCGCTATTGCCTTCAATTGACTATCCGTTCATTAATGCAACTTTCCTTAAAATTCTAAATTTCTAAATGAATCCAATTACTTTAGTTGTTTATTTGTTTAAATTATTAGTTTAAATTTAAAAGATAAATAATCACTTCAATTTTAATAATTAAATATATTTTTTTTCTTATAAATTTAAATTCTATAAATTGTTAGATCTTCATGTTTGTTTTTTTTTTTTTTTTTTGGATAAACCCATATAATACATGAGTTTCACAACTAGTAAAATACTAAAATCATGGATGCATGATAGTCACCAAAAGGAGATATACAAATATGTTACCAAGAGGATATATACAAATATGTGAGATATATGAGACTTGAGTTTGGGCATATCATGTATTATACACACACATACAGACACACACACACTAGATGTCTGCCCGCACAAAATGAAGACGATAAATAGTTTTTTTAACGAATAGTTTGTTACGAGGAAATAATTATTAAATTTTATTATTAGTTATTATGTAATAAAATTTACCACTTTTAAATAAAATACTTATGTTTATACCTAATATTTATATTGCTTGTTTATAGTATTGATGTAAATTAATTCATATTGCTGTCTAGTTTAAGAAATGTAAATAAATTTATATAAATGAATTTAATATTTTAAAATTTTTATTTTGCTTCAAATTTAATTTCTTAATTACTTTCCTTAATTCAAATCTTTAAATTTTTGGGAAGTATTAATGAATTGTTTATGCATAATTGATTTGTACAAAAAAATTTGTAATTTAAACCTCTTAAAATTCAAGATATGACTAATATGCTTTAGGCAAAACTGCAAAAATGGTCCCTGTGGTATGCAATTTTTTTTTCATGTTTTGATCCAAACCTCAACTTCTTTGGATTGGTGGTCCTTTGAGCTTGTGTTCTTGTGGTTTTGGTCCTTAGGTAAACTAAAAAGACTAAAATATACTTCTAATACATTTTATGTTTTTTTCTATTTAATTTAAAGTTTTATTAATAAAAAAGATGGGGTCCAGACCTTCCGCCCTCCCTATCTATCTCTCTCTCTCTCTCTCTCTCGCTTGCTCTCCCTCCCTCCCTCTCTTTCTCTCTCATGTTGGATGATTCACATCAATTGTAGTTTCATGTGTTCACTACTCTTGCTTCCTTTCCGTCGTTATACCTGCTTCTTTTGTTCCATGAAATCGTGGTATTTCTGCTGTGTTTGTCTAGACCCTATGAAATAGTTATCTCTTCAGTTTCATCACAGTTTCCCTAAATCAACCAAAATTTTCATTCGTTTATATCAAATTTTTTGAAGAAATCGTTAAAATATTGATAAGACGATCAAGAAGAAGACTGTCGATACTAAGAAAGTGAAGCACAAGCAGCTTTTGATCACTGTCAATGTGCTCAAGTTTAGGACCTTTGCGATTTGTGGCGAATGATGATGATAAAGTTTCCGAAGTAATTGATTCGTCTATAAAGATGTATATTCGGGGTGGACGACTTCCTGTTCTTGGCTCTAATTTGGATAAATTTTTGCTTTATCCATCAAATGCAGGATCTAAAGGTATGTAGATTTCTCTCTGATTTGTTGTGATTTGATCTCGCTGATTGTTATATCATACGGATTACAAGGATTTTTTCTTATACATATTGTTTGTGGTAATTTGTTCATGCATGTCCACGTCTAGCTAGATCAATTTTCTCAAGAACAAGTCAACTATTTAGCTAATACAAAGTTTTTATTTCTTAAAGATTCAATTCGTAACTGATCATTTCATTAATAAATAAAAAAAATGAAGGAGGAGAACAATGCACTCCAGGTGCTTGATGAAACACCTAAAAGATACAACTCCTTCACCGTAAGAAAGCATCTATGTATTACTTTGCATTCAAACTTGAAAGAAAGACTCCATACTACAAGCTCTCTAAATTCGATCATCACCGTAAGAAAGCATCTATGTATTACTTCCGAAATACAAACACATATCAAACAAGAAAAGCGAAGGAATCTAGAATGAGTTCATCATTAGCTAAGAAAAAAATCAGACCTAGTTGCTCGTAGCTCACGAGTTGGGTAAAACCACCCATTTAAAGTTATTCTGCAGTAGAGTGGGGAAAATCGAGATACCCACTCCAATATAAACACAAACACATGCAACAAAGGCGGGGTGAAGGAGTAATCTCAATGTGTGTGTGTTTTAGGAAGAACAAGAGAGAGAGAGAGAGAGAGCCTTAATTATTTTTTAATTATTAAAATAGATAAAAAAACGAAAGAAAAATGAAAAACAACACACAAGGGTATTACAATAATTTCAATTTTCGGAGGGACCAAAACCACATACAAACATCGTCAAAAGGACCACCGATCCAAAACCCGAAAAAAATGCATACCACAGGGATCATTTTTGCAATTTTATTTATGCTTTAAACTAACAAAAACAAGTTTATATAAACGAAAAGACATTTTGCACATGTATTCTCCCCCAAACATAAAAGGTTTAAAAAGGGTCGTAAAACTCACCCTCGAAACGTATGAAATGTTCGTTGGTGAGATCTAGTTTGAATTAAATCTTTGAACGCCTTTTTCACACAGTTTTCTCCTATCGACTTGAAATTTCGATTACATTTTTGAAATCACCACACTCGAGATAGTCGACAGACATGTTCATAAATTTTTTTATGTCACACCCCCAAACCAGAACGGCAGAAACGTCTGGGGGCGAATGACTTCATGTACAGTATCATAACAATTGAATAATAGAGATCAAAGCATTACAACCATTACATTGATGAATAATATGTTTACATTGTACTAAAAAACATTGTTTACATGATATCAAATGCATGTGACAAAATATAAGTAACGTGATGCGACGACGTCCCATCCACCAAAACTCTTGTAATTACCTATTTACTGGTTTCCTGAGAATACAAATGATTTTGAAAAGTGTCAACAATTAAGTTGGTGAGTTCATAAGCGTTTTTGTATGCGAATGAGTTTGTAGCTGTTTCGTGTAAAAAGATGGTGCATACTTCCAGAAAATCCAATATTTTCTTTGT